GCGAGAATATTCACGCCTGAAATGCTGAACCATGCCATCCCACTAATTTGAATTAATTGAATGACTGTTACCGCGTCCACCGTTATTGACCTTAGTGTTAAAATCCGAAAGTTTACTTTCCCAGTTATCTCATGTGCAGCCTTCAGGATTATAGCTAGGAACGCGAATAACGAAAGTGACGCAATATATACACTATAATACAAGATTACGTGATATGAATAATAACAATAGACTTAATAACTTAGTGACGAATTATGACTTGAAGGTAGTACGATGACCAGAATTTATTGGTTACGATAATTAACATCATTAGTGGTCACAGAAGTGTAAATAATAAATTACTTGATATGATAAGCATTTGTGAATACAATAAAGGGAATATGAGACATAGGTAAGGGTGGAAATGCAGTAATGGTAACGATAACTGAGGCTAAGGTGACGATAACGATAGGACGTACTTCCCTAAATTAGGACGAGGATGACGCATCAACTTGATAGACTATATAATCCATGAATTTGAATAAAATCACCAAATGATCACTTTCCCTTAAATGTAGAAGAAGCATTATTCCACTGACATCATCACCGTGTGTAAAGACTAATTTGAATACAAACGAGGATTTTCGTAGTTCATATCTGGTGGAATCTTATGTGCTGGAATAAAGTCGAGATAATCGTGTTTCCAAACAATTTGTAATCAAACTATGTTCTAGATAACCCTACTTCCAAATTTCCGCAGTTTATAGACTATGCACTGAATTCACCTACTACAGGATACTTGGGCCGTTTGTCCAGGATTCAATTTCACACAGGAGTGATTTGTCCAACTCACATTCTGAACTGGGATATAACACAACTAATTCAATGTTTTGTACTGTGCATTTCGGTCGGCAGCTCACTAGCTCACATATTTCTTAGTCGTGTGCTACTGTCGTGCATTGTGTGTAGAGGTTAACTTCACCACCTACACGGTTATGTTAATACGTCTACAATGTAGAACTAGGATATCATTCAAAAAGATAAATATTAATACGAGTGCAATAGATCTTTACCCAAAAATGTTTGATGATGGTCTCGTTAGATAAATGTTCTTCACGAAACTTCCAAAACAGGCTCACATGGTTCTCGTTCTGTTCTAAGATAACGCCATTAATAGACTAACTTCACCTTACGAGAGCATAAGAACCGCCAAGATTGGGTTTAGTTTTTTCAAAAAACTATCACAATGCCGTAAACGGAACCACGACAATTTGAATCACTCTTTTTCTTTGATTACTTGTCAAAATAATTGAAAGTGATTAAGATCTCAGAAGAGCACATCAAGGAGAATATCTTTGTATAAACCACAAGAGCAACTTCATCATTATCAGTTTTGGGAGTATCGCACACTCGACTCTGAAGTTTCTAAAACGTAAATTTTCTGTCACCACAACAATCTCTTGGGTGAATCGCCCCCCAAGCACTCGCTGATGGCAACTGCAGCAGACGAATTTATTCCTTGAAGACAAGGTGGGAGTAAGAGTTCTTCCTTCATATTTAAATGATCGTTAACAACACAATGTTTTTAATCTGGGGTGCCAAATGTAAAACCGATCAACACATAAACTAAAACCATGAGTATGTAAATGTATGTGTTATGAAAACTCCTCTGCTAAATTTCCGTTGTAAACATCTCAGTGCCATTCGTTGGTAAAGGTCAACTAGAACACCATGATCTGCTGATCATATCCAATAAACGAATGACAAAAAATGGCGACAACCAATCTTCCTTATCTCATTCTGGAGTGGAACTCAGCAGGGCGTAATTACAACCACTAATACGTCCAGTGCTTTCAGATGTTCATTGGTGGTCTAGATAAACCCAGACTACAAAAAGTTTACAAAGATCATGAAACCCTCCTAATCAAGAATTCTTTGTCTTCAATTTTATTTTCTAATTACAAGATATGCCCTGACATGATCAATCATCCAGTTAATCCTTAATTTGAACTGATGCATGATAACTATGCTCAACTTTATAAGCTATCTGGTATTAACATGTGTGAAAAACGAAGTCTCACACCACATCAAAACGCTATGAATATCTGTATTCATGAATGTACGTTGACTAGCTGCTACGAAACTAAGATGAGTTTAATCGTATGATGAATTTAAGGAGAGTCCGCCCATCCAACTATCCATGAGAACTACTATTTCAAGTGGTCCCTAAAGGGAACAAAAGTTACTCCATTACTATGAAAATTAGGAACGTGATTTCAAAAGTTACCTCGGCCAAAGCGATTCGACAAATTTTCATGACTGCTAACAATATTTCGAACGGTGTCACTATCACTCCCTTCGATTTCTGCAAGTTTTCACATGTGACTTTTTGACTGAACAATGCTGATTAAACTATTCAGCAATTTATCAGTGATATTCATTTATTCGTATATAAAGCGCTTGTTCATCCATCTTTTGTTGTGTTACTTACCTCGAATCCAGGTTTGCGCCTATTGTTACAGGAGTAGAACAAGAGGAGTACTTGTTGAAAGTAACGATCTCGTTTACCGTTAACACTAGCTTATAGAAATAAAACCCAGTCCAGAGATTTTGAACTGTTCTCTTTTACTAATATTAATGTCACATGTTTAGGATTTATATATTTGCTTTGTATCTTTGAGACATTTTGTGTTCGGTGAATCCATCTTCTGCCCCGGGCTGAAAGCACACACTGAATGTGATCATCAGTGATTGTCAATAGAAATCGGATCCTCTCGCAAAAGCAGCATGGTTTTAGAACAGGTTATTCATGCCTCACTAACTTATTGGTGGCTCATGAAAGCTGATACAAGCTTAAATATCAAAAGTTACCTGTTACATGATGAGTAACACTGAGCTACTTGTTGTCCACACAAATAATGTCTTACGAGTCGTCGGTAGCCAAGACTTGGAGACTACTGCGCACTGCCGTGCAATAGCCACCAAACGTTTTACAACATTATAGTCAATACGTAGTGCCTTTAGTCAAGTCGACGCTAATAACTTTTTGACTTTGTATAGATTGTTTATACATCGTAAATTTGAGTACTGCATACAAGAGGCTAGCCCTTGAGTAAAAAAGACACTGAGCTTTTGGGAAAGATTCAGAGAACAGAAACTAAGCTGATTCTCTGAATGGTGATGCTCACGTATGATGCTTGACTGACTAAGCTAAACATATTCCCGTTGTCATAATGTAGATCTAGAGGTGACTTGATTACAGTTTTCAATTTACACAGTGAAAAATTTGTATCTGATATGCCCTTATTTTTCTTGTAATCCAAAACAGAGAATTTACGAGGACACTCTACAAACGTTCACAAGCCCAGAACAAATTACTTGCAAGCTGACTATCGACTTTTCCATCGAGTCATCAACGAGTGGAATTCATTACTTCGGCACGTGTTTGAGGCACTATTCGTTTTAAAAGAAAGTTTGATCACCTGTGGGACCATCACTGTCAGGACTAACACAGGCTATCAAGCTTTCTGTCCTTTCCAAACTAGAACTGAAACTGAAACAAATGTTTGAGACTGGTATTTAAGGGACAATGTTATCCGTAATATATCATTGTAAATCATTTGTGCAAACGAACGTTACGAATTATTTTTATTGCAGTTTGTTATACTTTACTGGAATTAGTGTATTATGCTTGTTATCAGGTTGTGATGTAGAGTTTGTATAATGAAGTGCATAAATGTTATCATTCGATTAAGTTAATTTTACTAATATGATCCATGCACTTCCTATTGAATCAGTTTATATCCAAATGAAAAATAAATAGTAAACACTAACAGCATATACCAGAGGTTTTTTTCCTGTAAAAACAATGAAATTTGCAAGGAAAATGCAGTTTACATTCGACAAATTATGGATAGAATAAACATACCAGTTCAAATTACTAAAATAGCCATATATGGAATTGAACAGTAATTATTGTAGAGTATATGCATTATCATAACTGAGTATCCAAACAACCCAGCTGGGTAAAAATGGAATACATCAGTAGATATCAGACACTGAGATCGCATATTGTGACAAGTATGAAATGAGAGAAATCTACTTTGGAATCCTGATACATTGAGGCGATCAAACATTTGTCATAGGTGAATACAGGCTAATCGTCCTTCTTTTACGAACGATTCATTCAATTGGTTTAATATGTTGATCAAGTTTCTAAGGGACATTTTTATGCATATAGATAAGTGTACAGATATTTCTCAATTTCGTTTAGCCAATACAGCTTACCTCTCACTCTTGGTTCTCCTACTCAGTAGTTGGTTTTATAATGCGTACAGCAAGCATATTTCTCAGTATGGGAATAGGATAGGACAAAACATGGCACTTGCTAACTAGGCATATGTAAAATCAACGTCATTCGCATAACGATAAATATTGAATTGAATAGGTCGAAAGATGCACTATTTTTTGCTAGTATATCTTTCAACATAAAGTGAAACCGTAACTCCACTTGGCCTGGTGACATATACTTGGTGTAGCCATATGTGCTATAGGAATTAGGTCTTAAGATTTCATGTGAAAACAGATTTGATTTATGTTTGCTTTACATTACTGAAAGTAACCTTTGCCAAAATAACAAGTTCTCAGTGAAACTGAAATATTTCTCATTATGCCTATGATAATAATCATAATTGATATATGACAGAACAGAATTTGTTTATTACCAATAATCATCAACTTGCACAGTTACTCAGCACGCATAACTGATTCCTCAATCCTAATTTATCGTCATCGCTGAGTATGGATGGTCACAATTTAACCTAAGCTAAACACGCTAAAGGAGTGAACTTAAATCGACTTGTGATTTCAACAGCGAAAATACTATAACCTCCACAAATCCCCATACTGATAAATTCTGTTTACGTGTTAAGTACAGAAAACCAAACGTGAAGCAAATGAATGAATGTGCAAACAATAAGTTCAGATCAGATTTGAGGGAAATCTATTATATGGAAATATGATTAATTACATTCAAATACTAAAATGTAACTAGAATATATCAGTTTAGGAATGAATATTTTTGAAGTTGATAATGCATTGTCAACTAATAATTGTGGATGTGAAGGATAAATTACATTTGGTGTAATTGATGAACAAACAGAAGTTAGATCTGAAAAATAATCCTCCTTGAAATACTTTACTAATATCACAATGAATGTTGGAAAACCTCTCGCCTTTCGTGCAAATGCTTCAGCATGACTTACAGATTCCTGTAAAGAAATTAACACATGTCAATAAGATGAAGACATATTATGCAAAATGTATTCGAAAAGTCTTCTTTATAGTAATCTGTTAACTTTGGAAACAATGACATAACTACATAAGACTCTCCCATTTCGAGAACTAGAAAACATGTGAAACACTTCACAGCAATAGCAACTGACTAATGGAAATGCTAAGCAACATATCATAATTAAAATGAAAACAACTTTTAAAATCATTTACGCACAAATGAGTTTTACTGGTTATTCATCATGATTTCAAATACTACACAGTGAAATACACAATAATAAGAATCGTTCGATTCAAACAAAAGTTAGCGAAAATCCCTGTGTCAAGTGGTGGTTTTTAAATGTAGTTCATAGGTAAACCCTGAACTTAGGTCTCGTCCAATTTTACACATGCAAGCAAGGTGTACTAACTCCCGAACTCTATCAGCTAATATCTCAGCATAGTGCACACGATGACAAGTCGCTTAGATGATGAATTACATCCCAACTTGATCAATAGAATCCAACCAGTACTAATCAGGACAAGGCACACATGACAACGATTATTATTCAGTGGTCAGTCGATTTTGAGTAATTCTTATGTTCACCATCCAACTGCAAGCCTCAGGCGAGTGAAGATTAATGGAAAAGGATATATAGATAATATCAATACATTTTGGCAAACTGGGAGTTACATGAAATGAATGCATATTAAATATGTTGATGAGATGATTTCTGTTTGGTAGAAATACAGACAACAACACTGAAATAAGTAATGAACTTTAAGGCAAAATCTATGAAGGAATGTGTGGAAGACGAATATACTAATCGAAGGTCAATTAATTGAGATGTTGATCAATAGACCAGTTGAAAGATTAGGAAGATTTCGATAGTGTTATAAGAAGACGAAGATTATCAGTAATCGTGATCTCAATATTAGAGTGTATGAACATGTACCTAAATGGCTGCAGAAACAAATAAAATTAAATAACGCAATAAAGGTAGAGAATAAACATCCATCGTCGTCTATTGCCAAGCAAATAATTGGAACAAATCATAAGATTGATTTTAATTAGGCTTTTGTGATGTTGTGAAAATGTGTAAAAGGGTATATACTAAGGTTTTTTAAAGCCTTAGCCATACGAAAATTCAAACTCCCTTTGTGCAGTCAAAAACTATCTGTTCTCACCTTAAACCTAGCCTGGTAATATTAGTTCATTATCCAGAGTTTTGAGGTTTCAAACTGTTTTCATATTATTTTCTTTACCATCCTTGTCTCGTCTTACCCTTCATTTTTAGTCTAGTTGACCTTTTATCGATTTATACATAAATGTTCTTAACATATGCATTATGTGTGATCAGATTGTTCGAAATGTATTGAGCTGATCTACATATTATCACATAGTTCTGATCATCATGGTCTTCTGAATTACACTATTGAAATTTATCAAAGGCACTAATTACACAAATTGAAATCATGAGTCAATTGAAGCTAGACCACAATGAAAAACCTAGAAGCACCAGATGGCCGTTTCGTCCTAGTATGGGACCCCTCACCATCGTGCATTCACGTTCCCGCACTCCGCGAGATTCGAACCGAGGACCTATCAGTCTTGCACCAATCGCTTAACCAACTAGAACACTGAGCCGGCATCCAACTAATTACTTTGAATAGGAAGATGTTGAGGCAACCGCTATTCATCAATCTGGAAAACAATAATTACTAATTTAAGTGAAAATCAATTTTGTATAGCGCATCTAATATCAAGAAGCTTTATCCAGAATAATTATGACATTCATTTCAGTAGATCTGTTCACTACATCGATGATTGAAGATCATTACATGTTTACTGCTCAAGTATATTAGAAGTTATCAGTTGAATCTAGGATATTTCAATTCATGCATTCATATGTAAATAATGCATGAATAAGTAATTATATATCAGGATATGGGTTTAAAGAGAAATGGTTAGTGTCATGAAAAAGGATGATATTTCATATTTAGTGAAAACTTCAAAGTGAAAATGTGGTTAAGAAAGAAATACTTCAAAATACATTAATAATATTCATTTCATTTGTATTTTATTGATAAAAGTAAACATACCAGTAAATTTCACTTGGTGTTGTTTTACTTGTATCTTAACATTGTTATTTGGGACTGCTATTGATCAGTTTCTTATAGGCATATATGCATCCTGTGTGAATTGTCTCATAATGGAACATAGGCCACCGACCAGCATTCTACAACCCACTTTTTCCTGAGCCTTTTTTCCTAGTTCTATCCAGTTGTTGTTCATTCTTCTTCCACATCTTCTTTGTACTTGAGGATTCTATGTGAGGGCTTGGCGTACGACTCAGCCGCAATCGGGTTTTTTCTCGCCCGCAGTAGGTTGTTTTTGATAGTGTCTGGTCAATGGATCCGAAGTATTCTGCATAGACAACTGTTAATAAACACTTGTATTATCTGGATGATGGCTTTCGTAGTTCTCCAAGTTTCCGCCCCATACAGTAGAACTTTCCTCACATTTCTATTGACAATTCTGATGTTAATGTTGGTTGATAGACAGTTATTTTGAGTTCCAGATGTTCTTCAATTGAACATATGATGCTCTTGCTTTACCGATCTGCGCCTTCATATCTGCATCAGACAAGCCGTGTTCATCAATGATGCTGCCCAAATATGTAAAGGTTTTTACACCTTCCAAATTTACTCCGTCAATTGTGATTGAATTGGTGCATGCTGTGTTGTATCAGAAAATCTTGCCTTTCCCTTTGTGTATGTTGAGACCTACTACTTCTGAGGCTACTGCTAAATTGGTCGTCTTCTCCTGAATTTGTTGTTGCGTTTGCGATAGAAGAGCCAGATCATCTTTGAAATCTAGATTGTCCAGCTTCATCCTAGCTGTCCACTGTATCCCGTCTTCATAATCCAGTCGACCACCAGAAGGAAGAGAAAGGGTGAGAGTAAGCAACCTTATCTGACGCCGATCTTTACCTTGAACGAGTCTGTCGACTGTTCTTCAAGCACGATTTCACAGTTTAACCCATCTTAGGAATTCCGTATGATATTGACTATCTTCTTAGGCATGCCGTAGTGTTAAAGGAACCTCCATAGTTAATAGTTGGGTTAAGAAATTACTTCGGAAAAACAATTTATCAAGTATATAAGCTGTAAAATCACTTACTTGGTCAATATTTATTTGCTCTATTGTTCCCCATTTTATACTAGGATTTTGACGTAAAGCTACTAATTTTTGAACAAGACGAAGAACGGATTTGTCATTTCCTTCAGCAAGTTCACTCTTTAAGGATAAAGAAGATTGTTATACTCACAATGATTGACAATATTTTATTGTACAGTAAAAGAACTAGACAACTAGTTCATATCAATCAACAAATATGATTTTTCACACGATATTGAGCCATTTCTTTTAATTTCGACAACTTTTTCAATGTCATAAAAGGCGTTTATGTCAATAATGATAGATTCCAATCAACTGAAAACTGAGCCAACCGGGTAATGAGTTCATTTATGACTTAAGTTTAGATGATCGTTAACTACACATCTTCATTGATAAATTCAGGCTAGGCTCAACTGCATACTTTGTAAATATTAGAAGTAACTTAAAAGCCCAAATTCGATTGGTGTTGTTTTACTTGTATCTTCGCATTGTTATTTAAGACTGAAACTGATCAGTCTCTTGTTAGAGTATGTGCATTTTGTGTGGATCGCCTCGATATAGCCTTAAATCATGAGCTTTTTCGGCAAAGATGGACGGCGGCTAGCAGTGGAATCCAGGACGTGAGTTTCGTCTAATTTGGGACTCGTTAGCTGGATGTATCGGCATCTCAGAGTTGATGCTGGAATGGGATGCAGATACATCCAGCTGACGAGCCCCAAATCTGACAAAACGCGCGTACGACTGCAGAGCCTGATGAGGAATTTATTAAAAACAATTATTCTTCCTAATTTTCTTTGATTTTGAGTTATTTGTGATCAAATTGCACTCATGGAGCTGAAATTTGGAGAACTAACACAACCGTCATCAAGAAGGTTCAAGTATTCATAAGTAGTTGTCTATGAAACACCAAATTACCGGATACAATGAGCAACACCCTACTGTGGGAGAGAACAAACCAGCTTCCAGCTGAAGAGGAAATTAGGAAAAGACTTTGGAAGTGGATAGGACATACATTACCGAAACCCCCAAACTGCATCACGAGGCAAGTACTAACATCTAATCCTGAATAGAAACGGAAAAGAGGAAGGCCAAAGAACACATTACGTCGAGAAACAAAATCAGATATGAAAAGGATGAATAGGGACTGGAAGTAGCTGGAAAGGATTGCCCAGGACAGGGTTGGATGGAGATTGCTTGTTGGAGGCTTATTCTCCTCCACGAGGAGTAACAGGCGTAAGTAAGCAAGTAAGTAAGCATATTTTGGTCACACAGTAGATATTCAGCAAAAGCGGTCAGTTATTTTTGTTGGAAAAACATAGTTTTAATAAAATAACATTTCGGCTACACAAAGAAAACAAGCATTTGATGAGTGAATACATGGAAGTTACCATATTACATACTTCAACAACATTTTTGTTATTATAATTATTGAGATAGTTACGAAATATTGAATAATTTATTGTCGCCGAAAACCTCTTCCCATTAAAACCCCATGGCATTGGCATTATAACTCTTTCCTTTCGGATAAATACTTTCAGGAAGATATTGTAAATTGACTCTGTTTACATCAATCTCAGTTCCATAATAAATTACTGGTAGTCCTATAGATAAGATAAAACAGTGGTGAGAAAAATATTATATAATAATTCATTTAAGTGAACACATTTCGCAGTTTAATATCCTCCATGCCTCCAAATGCCCTGATACGGCCGAGAGTGAAAACAGTCAGCTCTCCCTCTCGAAATACTCTCAAGTGGCCACGTGTATACAACCACTGCCAGGGAAGTACTAATCACTGCTTTCTCGCGTCGGTGTTGTTTACGAAATCAAGAGGACGAAAAGCAAATGTCCAACGATTTAACCGCGTTGGTGGATACGGAGGGTCCACCTAGGGGAGTCGGGAAACCCTGATTTCAAACCAACGGTGCCCTTTGGCTCCAATATCCTAAGGAAACAAATGGCGTATGAACCATTGGATTGCATATTGTGACGTTGCTCCACTGCCTTGTGGCTTAAACCGTCAGGTCAAAGGCTCGGGGTGTGGTCCCCTAATGAGACCACTCGCTTCGGTCCAGGCACGCGGGTAGTATCTCAGCCCTCACATAAGTCGAATATCATCCATAACTAACAAGAACTTAGTGACAAGATACCTTATGCTAAATTTCATCATACTTCCTAAGATACTAGAAGTGGGACAAACGAAGACAAATTACATATATTCACATATAAGTCGTTCTACAGAGAGAACTTACTAGGATAACTTCAGTCATGTCTGTATCGAGAGATCCGCAAAGGAAGCTGATCTGTTATTTTATATTTAGAATTGCAGATAGTTGTAAAATATATTTTCACAATCATTCACTGTGATATAAGATAGATCATGTCAGTAAAACTAATCGGTAAACTATTAATGGTAAATTGATTGTTGAGTTTACAATTAACAGTTCTATACCTCAATTCACTATGGATTAGCCATGATAACACTAGACACAATCTCTTGTCAAGCTTAAATGCTGTCAGCTGGTATTTCCGCTTAGTATATCATTGATGATTATGGATTCCGAGAAGTTATTTAGTAAATTCAGTTTTTAAAGTCACAAGATTGTGGCATCAACTCTCGCAGCAGCGTGTAAAGTTGTATGGATAGTATTAAAAAGTTTTTATTATTATTTATGTTCCTATACCTGGCAATAGCAATGTTGTGGCAAGCTGAAGCGTATCTCCATATGTCGGAATATGAACAGTGCTTGTGGTCAAACCAAGTATCTCTTTGTCGGAATCTGTATATGTGAGATATTTTTGTAGAGCTGTTTGTTTAAATGGTAATTCACGTTCTTTTTCACCTCTCCCCGATACAAATTCACGACTGATTATCATATCAGCCCCATCTTTGAACATTAACATTGGATCTGGATTATCTCCCAAACCACAACCTGTATCACCAGAGTTCACAGCCAATACTCGGTAGAAGATATTGTACATAGAGCAAACAATAGTTTCTGAGATCATTTGCATAAACTGTATGAAATTCGGTAAATTTAAATATGATGTCAATGGTTTGAGCAACAATTAACGCTTTAACAAATTTTATAATAAACGATTGAATGACTCAATATACAATGTGAATACAAAAAAACACAGATTATCACTAGTAGTTTAATATTTCTGTTATTCAATAATCTTATTTAGTAAGCTATACATCCACTGAACCCCTTTAAGTATTTAACTATTTGTTTACATGCTTAAGAAGTATAGTTTCATTCACCTCCAATTAGATGAGTTTCTATTGATCACTTTGTAGTGCCAGTGAACTGTCACTGAGTCCTATCCAAATCATCCGGCAGTTGTGTCACTGAATATTGAACAGGTTGTCGATCCCTGTCAAAGCCAAGGACAACCAACGCTCATCAGTTGATCATATGTCATGAACTGGCCAATGGGATGGTGGTCTCACTATCTTCTCTGTACTCATTCTTACTAATATATTTCCTTAATAACGTCGTTTGTGTTAAGCGGTCTTCAAAGCAGTCATAGTACTTTTATACGTCGAAGGAGTAATCCACGTTAGATGTTGACCGTGAGGTATGACTTCGTAGTTAGCTAGTTCGTCACACCATTCCCATCTAACTCGTGTAGGCCTCCAATCATTCGACATAGATAATCTACGTTGGTGATGTACAACCTGATACTTTGACACTACCGAGATGACACAGCATTGTAGATAATGGAAAGTATCACTGATTTACATTAAAACAGCTAAAAGGTGCACATTCGTATCTGATAAAATTCTGATTACCACTTTGATTTAAACAAGAAATTCCAAAACATTAATAATCAATAAAGAACTTACTTTTCTTTTCCACTCTCCTTAATCCACTTGTTCATTTCTTCTCTTACACTTTCAACAAATCTCACACTTCCATTTCCATATAATTGAGAATTAGGGCAGTTTTCAAACCATGTTGAACTGAGCTAAATATACAGATAGAGTAAAAAGAAAGAGAATAGTTTATAAAGGGACAAATAGTTATCATTGAATTATCATTCGTAGACTTACTTTGCTTTGTGTTCCTTTTTCTTTATCTTCGACGAAAAATGCAGCATTATCCAGGAGAATTCCATCTATTCCTTCTTTCATCCAAAAGTGGATCACATCCTATCGGTAATAATACAGTTTAATAAGTGAATTCATTGAAACATACAAATATTGCTTTCCGAGTTTTGGCAGAAATTAAATGTAAATCTATGCTTGGATATTCAAAAACGGAATAATATTTTTGATGACTAATATTCACGTCCAATGTATTTCCATATCGTGACGTCTTTATGTATATAAAATGTGAAGAGACTATGAAACAATGAAAGTAGTTTTACCTTTTTCTTAAAGTCATCATCAAACAACGTCAGTTTGACATTGTTCTCTGTGATCCATTTATGACTGATGGATATCGCATTGAAATCAAATGTCAAGATAACTTTGATATCCTTTTTATGAAATTGTTTTAAAAGACCACGAAAATCATCCATTGTGCCGACTGCCTCATCTAACTGCTCGTATTCTTCCACTAATCCGAGTGTATTGTATGAATTAGTGTAAAATCCTTTAGTAATGGGACCTAATATCACATATCCTGCACCGACTACAGTTTTGATGTAATCTACTTCAGATGTGAGACCTATAAGGATAAAATCATTTGAGTGATAGAGGTTTTACACTAATACTCATTACCATTTAAATCACCGACTAGATCACCTGAAGAATCTTTAAATGCAAACACATCTAACCAGTAACCAACTGTTGATTTCCAAAACGGTAATTTGGGCACAGATGGGCATTTTTGTCCAACAATTATATAAACAATACATGCTGCTAAAAGACCAAAAAATAGAATCCCAAATCCAATTAATAATCCTATTCGAATATATCTCCAACGAGGTTCAATTTTGTCTAAATTAATGAGATCTTCACGAGTGAGTAGACAACTCTCTAATTGAAATTGATGTCTAAGTAAGTTTGATGAATAATTTATTGAATCTTCTTGTTCAGTGAGTATATCACCACAATTCTTTGAATAATCACACTTTCTATATTCTTCATTAACATTGATGTTTTTGTAGTTCTTTGTTGTTGATTTTCAAAATTTTGTTTACAAATAATACACAATGATTCATTTTCCTTAATCATTTTCTATTCTTGAATTAATCTCAACTACTAAATTCTCATTTTTGATATTACCGCAAATATTATTTAATTGTGTTTAAATAAACTGATACAAATACTTTATTTTTATTGTTTAAAAATTAAAATCAATGAACTGATATCCGGTTTATTATTGATTATTTCATTATGATTGGATTATTGATTTATGATTGATAAATTGATTGTACTTTGATGTTTGTAAAAGGGGGACTGATATACCTTCTTTTTTTCTTTAAAAAGAAAAAAAGGATCAAGCTATAATGTATAATAGCTCACATGTAATTGCGTTTGTTTATATGTAATTTGGTTAAGCCCTTTTGTTAACTTATTAAACGGATAGATTAATTTGTACAATAACAACCTATATGATTGTACCTTTATTATTGTTTCACTTATAGGAATATGTACACTTAAACACTGCTTACTGATTACGCATATGTTCAAACTGCTAGTCTTACTATTAGTCGCTTAAATGATTCGATGATTCATTCATGGTCCACCATGGTGCTTGGTACGTGTGTGATTGCGCCACAGGATTGAGCTGTACTATTCAGATTGTAGCGTTAAAGCCTATGCGGTGTCTGGTTCGGGATTGAGCTGTACTGTTCGGTTTATAAAATGTAGGCCTGGGTGGTGTCTGGCTCTCGTGTTAAACGGGGTTGAGCTGTACTGTTTGGGTTGTCACGTGAAAGTCCGAATGGTGTCTGGGTTTTCCTGTTCATTGACTCGCACACTCGCTTGCTCTCTAACTTTTCAACATTACTTTATCATACTTGCGTCGTATTCACCTTCTGATTCATATACCGTTGGGGGAATTATCTAATGATGGTTATCAGAAAGAACTGTATACAAAGTTTAAGGATTATGCTGAATATAGACCATTTTGAAAACAGCAAGCTTCATTTGTTTTCATTGTATCATCTCAATCATCAAATTCGAGAAAGTTATATCAGAAAATTTGAGGATTTACTGTGAGAAAATGCGACTAAAATGCCCCAAGTTTCCAGTGACCTGTAGAATCTCACTACATCCCATCACGATTCCACAGACTATAAGAAGAACCCCACAATACCACAAATTTCCTCATATGTGAGAGGTTCGCACATGTTTAGTGACAATTACAAAATGATTGAAACACTATGTAATATACAAAATCCCTTCATAGAAATGTTTTATTACAACAACATACATATGCAGCGATGATTGAAAATGACAATATAGTAATGGGAATTATTTATGTAAGATAGCGATCAAAATAATTCGGTTTATCAATCAAATGTATATGTGTTTGTCTGGATGTAACCATTCTGAAAACAATCATAACAAGAATCAATTCTTCACAACAATTGTCAGTCCATCTCCAGTTCTTAAGAGAGAAATTCGAACAGAGTTATCTTTAGCTATCAAAGCATTCATTTCTCGTACACCAACAGTTTCAGGACTGTTATCATTCTCGTCAAGCACCCTCTCCCTCCGTAGAACCTGGTAAAAAAAATAGTGAGCACCGTAATCATGTATCTCATTCAAAAATGAGACATTTTTTTCAGTCACATGTAGTGACCTACTTTTATGAAGAGAACGCAATTGGTATAATGGAAACAACTTTTATTATAACCAACTGTACCAGTGATTGTTTCACTGTACTTGCTTGTTCAGGTTTACTAACAATATACATTCTTCCGTTTTCTGTGATTTTGTACGGGCTCGGTTACTCTCAGTAATCCCGCTTGTATACCACGAAATCGCCAACAAATACATCTCGACTACAGCCATTAACTGCCTTCTCATATTGGGACTAGTGGGGATCTAACCTAGTAACTGGCTCGTAAGCTTCCTGCAGTGGTGAGCACAGCCGACCGCGACCCAACACCACACTACACACATTTCGAATAACCTCAATCGAACCATAGAAGGTTCCTTTGATTTGGTGATTGGGTTCATCTAATTTATCGGACCAACGTTCATAAACCTTGTTCTCCCAAGTTTTATCAAACCAGACAAACAGATTTTAAGGATAGACAACCGAAAACATAAAAGCTTCGACTACAGTAGAAAGTTCTAAACAGGAAGTCAAAATCCCGCTGAAAGCTGATATCCAGAATAAAAATTAAGTGGATAAGAACAGCTGCTGATAAGCGTAGTAAGTCTTCTGTATTATGTAAATCAGCTGTCAAAATAAGAATTTAGCATAAATAGAGGTTCCAAGATAAATTATACATACATATATGTGATAATCTCATTCAATTTAGTTTGAAATATAGGGCTGCTATTCAGCAGGTGTACAACTACAATCATTTATTATTATATTAATACTTCACACTTCATTGAATATGTGAAGCATTTCCCAGAGAATTTATGAAACCTAGAAGCATTTTCAAGGGCGAGATATTTCCAAACAGAAGATTCATTAATAGTCGTTAAAAGATCAATTCGACATGAAAACTGACTTCAAATGCATTGAGATACATAAAACATATGCTCGTAAATAAAACAAACTCACATTATCAATGGCGATGATTCCACGAGGTCGTACTAGTTTTAAACATAGTTCATAATAATTACTATAGTTTTCTTTATCAGCATCGATCAGAGCGAAATCGAATGTTTCACTCTCTCCATTATCAATCAAAGTTTCTGGTGGCACAACAGTTCAATCAAAATATATAAAGTTCAGTTACCAAATCAATGAATAGCTTAGGACAAACCTGTTATCAAACTGAACGTACTTACATACACCCAACTGTTATCGAATACTAACTGAATAAATATATATGCCAGCACAGTGGTCTACAGTTTAATAATCCGTGAACGAGACTGAGTCCTGGGTTCAATTCCTTCATGGAGGAACGTGAGTACGCACTTCTGTGGAGTCTCATACTCCTTCCAGTTTTTCACTGATGGTCTAACATTCATCGATTCGTGATTGCAATCAAAATGAAATACTATTTTCATACCTCCAATCCACTTACACACAATACTTACATCTGTTTTCTTAACACACATTTCGTCACAAACGTTACATGTATCTGATACACACTGTAGCAGATATTTCCTTCAAATGTCATTAATATGACTGAATGATCTATTTGGTAAACAGTTTTTCGAGCAAACCATTGGACTCAATCACAGAGATTTAACCAATATATGCCTCCTCTTCAATGTCATGCATTATCACGGAACACAAATACTGTTCATCTATTCGTTCGAATTTAGACGGAAATTCTCATATAATTTGAAATGATTTCAAAAAGTGTAATGCAATCTAAACAAGACCTGATCATGGTGTCTAGTGTAAAAATATTAGCTTCTCGCATACATTATGTATATTATAGGAGGGAACTTTATCAATCATAGCAATAATGCACTTGTAACTAATGGACATACAGATTCAGTAAACTGGTCAGTATTTGTTAATAGTCTGTACAAGTGGTTAACTCAGACAATATTTAAACCAAAGGATATCGAAACCAACATCAATGAAATTTGTTTGCAGTTCAGTCCCTTGACATTTAAGTGATCTCGATCACTCCACTAATACTTCTTAATCTCTAGCTTACTTGTAGATTCCGTCCACATCAACCAACATTTCGTTATTTTCAACGATCTTAAACAGAAACGTAGCATGAATTCTTCATATACTATCTTTTTCCAAAATCAATCAGATAGTATTGCTGACACTAGAGAACACATCATTCACCTACGAAGAAAATGCTTATCTTCATGGATATTCTATGCTAAAACATTGACAGCACATTTGTATTTTGTTTTTCTTGAAAACAATATACCACACCATATGATCAGACTTACGTAGAGTATCAACAGCTGGACCGAGTCGAAAGTCAATTTTCGATTCTACACCTGCCTTCTTCCATACTGGTAAACAATAGTCTTTCAAATATTCATCTGTTATGTCCAAGGCTACTACACGTCCATCTGATGGCAATACTTCCGCCACAGACAATGAACTATATCCAGTATAAACTCCTACATTCATTTTAAAATAAATGGAAACATATCTGTTGATAACGACTAGTTGTTTAACTGATGTACATTGAACAATAAAAAAACAGTAAAATTATCACACTAAAGTCTTACTCACAGTGTCGCTTAACAAAACAGTCATTAGCTTAACAAATATATCTGAAACCAATTCTTAATGAATCCAACAACCCAAAAATTTGTGAAATTCAAAAATCCCAGACATAATTGATTATCATTAGTAAGGTTTCTATTCATTTCATCAACCATATTCATAATCAACAGGCCTGTGATTTGGGAGAAAAGTTCACAGATTCTGGATTAATCTAATAATCCGGTATGCGAATGGACACGAAGTAGTTGTTTGTACATTCATTTCTTCTTGATACTTCGAAATTCGCATTCACTACACAATAGTATGCATTTGTACAGAGACAGGTTCATGCGCTACTCACTACTGCGTTACACGTTTCAGAATACTCGTTATTTGCTCCTGTAAATAATACAGTGTCTGATTTCTCACACTTTCACGTTAACAATCATTTCTCTCAAGAGATTGACTACGCTCATGTGGGACGACGCAAACATGTCGCATTCCACTACCAGTCATCATCCAACTCTACTTAGAACCAGTGACTGAATGACGATATTGATGCAATCTGTTAACAAAATGTTAAAACCAGACTGACCAATTACAACACTCAACATCAACAACGGCTAAATAAAAACTATTTCAAAATAAAATTCACAACCGTCGAACAAGCTACTGACTATTTGGAATCAATTCATCAGTGGATCACGTAATGATGCTTGAAAGGAAAGGTACTAGCTTCGAATTACCATGCGAATACCAATAACACCATGCAAATTCATCCACCTGACCACTCTCAAATACAATGAGATCAGTGTTCCAGTTTCCACTTCCAGACAAATATGCAATTCAACCACGAATGTGTTGTTGATATATAGTATCAACATAGTTGCTTCAAGGTAATTCTCTCAGTCATTCGACTCTATCCGAATACACAACGATAATCAGTCAGTACTGGATGACTATATCCTTCTAGTTTTTGAACTCTCCTTTCTTCCATACATGATTCGTGCATTCACAAATTTCATAACCACTCTGAAATGTAATACTCACTGGAGTGAGACGAAAGATGGAATAGAGAATCCAATCTCCCTAATCGTCTTCAAATGGTAGAGATAATGAACAATATTCTACAAATAACAGACGGTTGATTTTAACGCTGACTCATTTAATGTCGCCGTAAACCATGAAACGAAGTTAGATATAGTAGCCACATTTTGTTTATAAAATTTCTACCTATATCTATCTATGCAGTTAATTTTTATGATTAGTTAAATACGACCTATTACATTTCAATTACTCCATGAAAGCTCAGAACTTGTTCGAGAAGCAATGAGGAACATAGAATGGATATATATATATACTTGTAAACAAATCCACACAAACCTCGTACTTACCAATATCAATTGTCTTTCTAGCATTTATCGCATAACACAAATTTGATAGAAGTTGCATTTCTATGCTGGAGAAAAGCATATGTGACAGTGGATGTTTGCTAGTCTCCTACAATACATTTAAGGAAGATGATGATTGTGATGATTACTTGTAATAACCACTTTTGTGCTTCAGAAAGACGCAGTGAATGATCACATATATACCGATGAAGTTTATCTGCGCATTTGGTACAACCATATTCGGTTACTGACTTTGAACTGGTAAGATCAGTCATTTTTGTAATTAGCTGTGCTGAAACAAATTGGGCGTACGTACTACAATGATTTTCAAAGGTTAATAATAAATATTCAGTGATTTGATGATTATTTACCACTAAGACATTAATGGTATGTTTCCCTTTGGATTAAATTGAAAGAATGTAAGATGTTCAAATAGAAAACGCATTAAATGATTAAATTAAATAATATTAAGTTATCAAATTAGTAATAGTGACTTTTACCAATGATTCCGTAAATGACAAGCTATTTATAGAGTAGTCGTTACTGGACTTCAATTTCTGTGTGAATATCGTTGACATGATACACTTATTTTCGGCTCTATGTTCATAACAAAAACGAAACCCTTCAATGTCGCTAATAGTATTTTGTGATCTGTCAATCTCTTCCGAGCTGTTGTGTTATAGCCAAACACAGATAAAACGGAAAATAATTCTAGATAAATCAGACTGATTTATGCATTTGAGGTATTAATTAGACTATGCTGTGCTATTTAAAAACGATGATAAGCAATGAATAAGTGATAAAGTTTCTGACGAACGACTGAGCTGGACTGATAAATTACGTTTCTGATTCATTTTTACACTTACATGAACAAGTTAGGCACGCGAAATGGCTGTGAGGAACAGTTTGTCGATTCGGATAAATAAATACTTGATTAAATAGCACGTTGACAGCGCGCGCTGTTCAAAAGGATAGTAGTATTGTTTCTGGTTGAGTTGAATTAGCTGTTTTGATCGTAAATTACGCATCAAAACTACTGTTTACACTTTAATTGAATCTATTTCAGTTAAAGTGATATTGTATTGAGTGTCTTGATTTTGATTTTGTGTATTTATTGCATCAACGCGTACTTGGTCGACTTCTACTTGATATATTTAGTTAAAGTTTGAGAATTCCTTTACATATCCTGTTCGTGTCACCATTCTAGTTGAATTTTAAGATGACTAGCTTTGCTCATAAATGTGGACAACCATATTTCTTATTCCCTGTGGAGGAGGAGATGCAATGTGATGAGTGTAATAAGTGGTTCCATAAGATAAGCACCCAATTAAGCCCCACTCCATATAAAAGGTGCTCAAAGTTCAACTCTCATTGGCTTTGTATGTGTTTTTGCTCGAGAAAAACATTACTCATCCAGAAAGCAATCAGCGAATAGCTAAAAGTAATGCCCGTTTACTTGAGAAGTCCTCGGTGAACTCACAGACTACTCCGCCAAAGTCCCAAAGCAAAGCCTCGTCAAATATTGTTTTGAGTCACTAGCTTTACTCCCATGACTCTGTTACAATAAAAACTAATCGTAAAATGCCAGTAGTTAATATGCAGGATATAACAGGTGACTAAGGAAACTGTCCTTCCGTTGATAACTAACCTCAAACCTTGTAAGATACCTGGCCCTGACGGGTTACATTCACGGCTGCTGTCGTCTCTTGTGGACATTATTTTAAAACCACTCGCAACACTTTTCAACATGTCCTTTTTACTCGCTCAACTCTCTAGAGATTAAAAAGACGCTATAGTCAGTCCTATATTTATTGATGGTCTGAGACAGATCGTATTTAACTACCGGCCTGTCAGTCTTACTAACATAGTCGCTAAGTTGCTTGAAAAGATAATTCGGGTTCGGTTGCTAAGCCACATAGATTCACACAATCTGTTAGCTCCTGAGCAACATGGATTTCGTAACAAGCGTCCATGCTTGATTAACTTACTTATTGAGAGAGAGAGGATTGGACAGCAGCCTTAGATAACAGTCTATCTGTCGATGTGATATTCATAGATTTTAGCAAAGCATTGGACAAGGTTTCACACTCAGGTCTTATGCAAAAGCTCACAAGCTTCGGGATAATAGGTACTGCACAGGAGTGGATAGGAAACTTCTTATGTGAACGCAGACAGAGAGTGAGGGTCGATGGAACACTATCCAATTGGAAGCCAGTCAAGAGTGGTGTACCCCAAGGCACCATCTTAGGCCCTCTGCTCTTCCTTCTCTACGCCAACGTGTTATTGCTGTTGCTTAGGCCGTCGACATTATTGTTTGCGGATGACGTAAAAACCTGGAAAACAATAACAAGTGCGGCTGATCATCTGGATCTTCAAGCTGACTCAGACGATTTAGTTAGATGGGCTCGAGTTTGGGGCTTAGAAATGAATTCTGGGAAGAGTGTGCTAATACGAATCGTTCACGGTAATAGTTACCATTATACTATTGAGGGTAAACCTCTTCCATGCGTTCAATAACATAAAGACTTAGGAGTAATAATAAGTTCTGACCTAAAAACAACTACGTATTGCAACGCAGCCGCTGTCAAAGGTTTTCGTGCGTTGTGATCGCTTTGCTAAGCGTCTAAGTGCTTTGACGAGGAAACGTTTCGAATTTCATATCCCACCTATGTAAGATCACATTTAGAATACTGTATCCAAGCCGCTAGCCCATATCTGGTTAAGGATACTAACTCACTTGAGCGTGTCCAGCATGTGGGAACGAAATTAGTGAAGGGTCTTTCTAAACTCCCTTTCGAGGAGCGTTTAAAATGCCTAAATCTTTTCCCCTTTTCGAATCGTAGGATAAGATGTGACGTTATACTGGTATTTCGTATCTTCAATTACTATTCGGGTGTGAATATGTCTTATCGTTTTGCTCCCTCCAGCACTAATAATCTCCGAGGTCATAGCGAGAAGGTTCATGAACCGCAATCTTATAAACTTGAAGTGGGGTTCCGTTTTTCTCATCGAGTTGTCAATGACTGGAACGCCTTACCTGAAAAGTGGTATCAGCCACATCAATAAATATTTTCAAGGAGAAGCCGAACCTTCACTGGAAGGCAATCGGTCAGGGTTGACACAGGTTCACCTTATTACTGAAGACTTCAATTGAATCAGTCTACGTGTATCCAACGTGTAAAACATAACATCTGTCCAGTAATTTAATTAACGGAAATAAATATCAACTGTTTGTGTTGAAGTTATTCCTCCCAAATGATACAAACCAGTGAAGAAAGCATAATTTATATTGTTATTCGTTCGATTTTTCAGCTGCTTTCGTATGAATAACTAATCTATAATGCGTAAGACTAACAATCTAGTGTCAGTTGAACAAGATGACAAACTAATATGTAACAGCAATCCAAGTGCGAATGCAATCAATACAGTCATTTAAATTTCACAAACGATGCTTACATAATATAGAACATTATAATCGTGAACACGTTTTAGTCTATATTTACAGAGTTGACTTACGGTAATACCACTGACAATATTATGTAATTTTACATAACAAACTGTTGAATGACGTTTATAGTCCTTTACTTAAGTGGAGAAAGTAAAGTACTTTGCTAAATTTAGTTCAGTAGAACTATTTAATAACCAATAGTCAATCATTTCTCTGCCACAAAATGTTTACGTTTGTTGAGAATCTATGTATCAGAATTCTGTGAATTTCGCACATAGGTAGACTCTATTTTCGACCATACAGCTCATGGATAGAAAACTCACCAATCGTCAGCGGTATCAAATGGACAAAACTAATTCCTACCAAAATGTTGTTCCAAGGTCACTGAGTTGGCTTACACACTTCGATGTTGTAAAACAACTCTTTTTAGTAATTTCTACAGCAGATTTACCAGACTTGAAATTGAGTTGTGGTGAGCAGAGGTTCTCACTATAGCTATCTAAGAGGTGAAGTGGTATTTTTGGTTGTCTGGTTTGTATTTTAGATTTGAATGTATCCTTATATCGACTATGTATAAGAGGTTTTGCATTTCTCGTATGCTATAGAACCTTCGGAGAAAGAAAAAAAGTAAATTCGGGTGGACAGTCTGCTCCAACAAATATTATCAGGAGTTTCCATTCATAAGTTTTACAGAATTGGAAAAAATAGGGACTCTGAGAGAACTCAGACAATCCTCCTTCGAAATTCCACTTCTACTTCTGCTAAAGAAAATAACATAATACTGGAAGATTCAGTCTTCAGTAATAAGGATAGGAGGTCTGTCGACCTATATTAATCCTTGCAGTTTGTAATACAGTGGAGGTCCAATCTCGTTTTGAATATATTAACAGATGGTGCTGATATTACGTGTTCCGGTAGAGAATTCCGGTAATTCACTACTCGGTGCGAGAAACGGAACTCCAGACGTAAACGGTTTGATCTCGGTTTTTGAACTTTCTTCTAATGTCCTCTCAAATGATCGGTTCTAGACGGGAGCAAAAGATAAGACATGTTAATACCAAGGTCATCGTTCAGTATACGATAAGCCAATATTTGATCACCCCTTATTCTACGGTAAGATAACGGAAATAAGTTAAGGTGTCTCAGTCTGTCTTCATAAGATAGGCCAGATAGACCTTGTACCATCTTAGTAGCTCGTCGTAGGACTCTTTCTAGCATATCTGCTTCATATTTGAAACAAGGACACGCTGCTTGAATCCCGTATTCTAAATGTGGTCGCACATAAATCGGGTATAGTAATCTAAACATTTCATCATCTAAATACTGGAAAGACCTACGAATTGACCATAATACCCTATAGCCTTTCGCAGCAGCAGCCTTACAGTGACTAGTCGTTTTGAGATCATTGCTTAATATGACTCCTAAATCTTTATAGTTTCTTACTTTTGGTAGCACGAATCCACGTAGTGTATAGTCATACGATTCATCAGAGTTATTTAACTGCATCACTACACTCTTATTAGGATTTACTTCTAGTGACCACCTATCTAACCATGCCACCAATGAGCTAAGATCGTTCTGTAATACTATCCTATCCGACATACTATGTATGGGTCTCCAAATCTTTATGTCATCAGCGAAGAGTAGAACGGATGATTTTGCTACAGTTGGCAATTCATTTACATAAAGTAAAAAGAGAAGAGGACCCAGGATTGTACCTTGGGGAACCCCACTTTTTACAGGTATCCATGAGGAGAGAGTCCCATTAACCCTTACCCTTTGTCTCCTGTCGTGGAGAAAGTTACTTATCCAATCGACGACTGCATA